GTGGAGAGGGATAATAAGCTTTGGAACTCAGGACTAACAACAATGGTGGGTAATCAGAGATGAAAAGCAACGGAGAAGGAGATGCATGATAGCAACGACACTCGGCATCCTCCATTGTTGCTCAGGTGGAAGCCTGTCGGTGCTATAGTAGATGTAGAAACCCTTGAGCCAATGGATGAAGAAGACAAGATATCCTGTTTCTCACATCTCAATTGTCAATCTTGTCAATTTTTTTATTTATTTTATTTTTTTAATATATCAAAATAAGATAAAAGGGTAAAATAGTAAACTGCCAATATCCATTAACCTATTTGACGTCAACTTATTGACATGGGCCACTGGCCATTTTAAAAAGTTGTGGCAAGTTTCAGACAATCTCCTTTACATTTAGTACGACTTGATGTAATCACTTTGTAATGAACACTACTATGGGCTTAATTTAGGCTTACCTCGGTTTACCACAACCTGAAAGGCTAATGGTTAAATTTGAAAATGTTCTTAGGCTTTTTTCTTAACTCTATCTTGAACAAAATCATGAAAATTTTAAATTTGGAAGCTAAGAAGTTGACTCGCAAACCACAGGAATTGATTATTTTAGTGATATTACCCAAGTGGTAGTAGTTGATTGATTGTGATAACTGAGCTTGATATCACTTAGGGGGTATTCTATTTTTGGATTTTGAGAGAGGGGAAAGTTGGTCAATGGGATTTTGGTTCCTATTGACCAAGAACTTATGTTCTTTTTTCAGATTTATATGGGGGTCGGGGAAAGTTTATTTTCTTGGGTATCACTTACTCCTCCTAGGTGGGTAAATAACTTTCCCACCTAACAAAAAGTTGCCAACATTTTAATGGGACAAAAATACCCCTTTTAATAATAAATTTTTATGACTAAAATGGTCATTACCTTATTTATATGAGAAATTAAAGAACATAAGTAAATGCACTTACCTGGGTAAGTATTTTTCAGGAAAAACTTACCTAGGTAACTGTACTTACTCGGGTAAATAACTATCCAAAAAGTGAAGAAGGCCTTAATAGTTAATTAAAGTCGTAACAATGGAGTGATTGTGATAGTCGAACCTATTGTCACTTAGTAATCAACTACCTGAAAGGTAATAATAGATTTGTTGTGACAATTGAGATTGGGTTTACCATGTAGTCGACTAGCTATCAAAAGATAGTAGTTGACTACAAGAGAAAAAATATTCCGTCTTGTACATAGTAGTTAACTACCTATTCTCTGATAGAATGAAGTGGTCAACTGCTTAGTCATAATGGTCAATTACTTTACGATGCAAGGTTAAATTTTTTACCATTTACTCTTTCATTTTTTTTTGATAAACCTTCAGCTTCGTTGGGAATAAGCTTTAAATGTTTTTTTAGAGTAGTTTCATCACCTCCCAACGGCTCAATATCGATTACAAATGCTCTAGTTTTCATTCGTGCTATTTATGCATGAGTTTAAGTAGAACAATGTTATGATTATTATTTTCATGCTTAAAAAAATTACAATGTAATTAAGATAAAGTAGTATAATATATAATGTGTTGTGTTGGGCCCTGGGTTATGCCAGTATGGGCCATTTTTTTTTTTTGAGTTATGTCATGTTGGTCCATGGGCCTGAACCCCCTAAACCTAGCATGGCCTGAGTATTATAGTATGCAGGTCATGCATGGGCAGCGCAACCCACATTACAGTAGCTGTACATTTATCTCAACCTTCACGATTTTGCACCTATGAAAACAAGCTATAAAAGCAGAAAATGTTGTAATTGACATTTATCTCAACCTTCACGATTTATCTCAGTAGTGCAATGTCTGACGGCCCCTCCGGCCCTAGTGGCAATGGGATTCTTGGTCCTTGTGGCTGTCAACGATAAAAAACTAATTAGTCACGAACTCACGATTTATCTCAACCTTCACGATTTAGGGTAACCCATACCCATTACCCCATCCCTCATAGCCCCTTCGGCCCTAGTGGCAATGGAATTTGACCGCTGGTCTCCCAATAGAGAAGTCACACTTCTTCCAACTAGATCTGTTTATGGGTCGGGTAGCACGGTGGCCCAGCCCAACTCGCACCCCGGTCAGGCTTGGATATGTAGTTAGGCCTACGGGCCTGACCTCGGGCCCAAAACACCAAGCCCAATTGTGTTTCGGGCCGGGCTCGGGATTTGTCAAAAAAGCCCTGCTCGACTAATTTTTATAATATAAAATATATAATATTTATTATAATATACATATATATATATATTAATAATTTAATATATATAATTTTTATTTTTTTCTTTATAATTTCTCTCTCTCTCTCTGTTTAGCTGCTTTAGGATAGCAGCGGCATGAACTTTAGACTTCGGGCTTTTTATGAGGGCCAGGCTCGGGCTCGGGCCTTCAAAAAATCTGTTAATTAAGAGTGAAAGCCCGGCCCATGAATAGGTCTACTTCCAACTAGGTTATCAATAGGGGTGTTCACGGGTTGGGTTGGGTCGGTTTGAATCGTTTTCTTCAACCGACCTGACCTAGTCGGTTTACTTATTGACTAAACCGAAACCGATCGATCCTGGAATAAAACCGACCCAAACATGAAGGGTCAGTTTGGGTTGGTTTATCGGTTTAGTCGTTTTTATATATATTTTAAACTAAAATATCTATTTATATTTAAGTTTATTTCTTTTTAGTTTTTATGCAAAATCAAAATATATATTTAAATCGATTAGTCTTTTATGCAAAACTGATTTTTTTGTTAATATATATTTAAATTTATACAAAACTGAATTAAATATTGTACCATTGTATTATATTTGTATTGGTTTTACGTTTTTAGTTTTTATCATAAATAACCAATTTTTTTCAAAGTTCAAACAAAACACAAGTAAAATATATCAACATTTAACATATAGGGTAGGGACTAATTAATAATTACTTCAACATATAGGGTCGGTTTGGTTACTTAAACCGAGTTATCGATTTATTTTCTTATACAAACCGAAATTGACACATGTTGGATGTCCGAAATATCATGACTAATTAGTTTTTGCATATCAAAACTTAAAACTTTGTAGAAAGAGAGAAAAGAAAAAGACGTTGATGATTCCTGTACTCAATCATGTCCATTCCTTAGAAGGATGGAAAATGTGTTGTGGTACAAGCAAGCAAAATGTGTTTTATTCATTAAAAAGAAAAGAAAAAAAAAAGAGCAAGCAAGGTAATTTTGAAGAATTTCAACTTCATGACCTCGGGTTTGTTTCAACTTTCAAGTCATTGAAAACTTATCAAATTCCCAACCTAACCCTAACCCGACCCAAGTTGAACCCCACTCATGGGGAAGCACGCACATACTGAATACTGATAATATGTCATAATGCACATACTAAGATCATGTATTATTGTTTGGACTTTGGACCCGGCAGAATTTTCAGTTATAATTTCTGCCATTTTAAAGCAAAAATTTCATTTCTATCAATCTTCAAAACAATCTGGAAACGAAACTGTTTTGGTCACTAATTTTTGGGTCAATTGTTTGATCGTCCGGTTTGAATAGACGGTTCATTCTAACAGCAAAATTAAAAAAAAATTAAAAATAAAAAATAGTCAAAAACTGTTGAATGGGTCAATGAATCGACTGCCCGGATCAATGATTTATTGACTTTTTCAACAATTTTTTACCAGATTTCAAGTTTGAAATAAAATAAAACCAATTACCTGAATGGATCCCAGGCCGAAAACGTTTTCAACGGCGGTTTGAAAACGTTGTTTCAGATTGTGATTTGTGAACGCCTGTTTTGAATTAATTGATGACATCATGACATACCTGGGTTCAGATCTTCACTCAACGCTTTCCCAACACAAGGGAGATGACATGTATTTTCTTCTTTCTATTGGTTGCGTTTTTCTCTATGAAATGGATGGACGTAAAACTTTTTTCGGACTGAAATATTTTATCTGCCACTTATTTTCCTTTAGCAGCTCACTCCTTCTAATGTTCATATGCAACAAGAGAAAGGCCGTATGCTCATTTTTTCCATAAACGAGAATTGGGTATTAGATTTAGGAGATTCAAATTTATAATGGAATGAAATTCTACATCTACGGATGTATATATATATATATATATATATATATATACGACTATAAATGCTACATAATTATTGAGCTTAAAGAGATGGGCTAGAGGCTGACACCCATTAAGAAAAAATTAGAGCCTCCTTCCATAATTGAACAAAGAGTTGAGGCGGTCCAACTTGGATTAGACTTTCAATCCATCCCAACTAACACTATAGTGCAACTTGGGCCAGCCTCAAACTAGCTCAGCGATTTTAAATGTAAACCAATGGTTTTACCCTACACGTTGTATTTTATAATTCCTCTTAATTATTAGGCCCTATTTGTTTACTGATATGTCATAGGGATAAGTTAATCAATTGGCTAATTGACCAATTTCCTCACTTTGAGACTCGTAGTAAAAGAAATTTTTAAAGAGTATTATTGGCCATTCAGAAAATCGATACTTTCCTAAAGGGTGAATAAATAATTTATCCGCTGCTGAAAATGAAAAAACAAATAAGGCCTTAGGGGATAATCACCCTGACAATATAGATTAATTTAATATTTATTATTTAAATATAATGAGCCAGAAACAAAATCATATACACCAGGCTGGGCTGGGCAACGCTGTGTGTGTATGATTTTGTCTCCAATCCATCCGGTCCCTTATTATTTATGCTTATATAACAATAACAAAGTAATAAAGTCATAAACGGGTTTGTTTGAAAGATATAGTCATAAAGAGGGTGGTAACGTCATTTCGACCCTGAGGTATATTCGTGATTAAGTGGAAAAAGCAGACCCAAACGTTGAAAGAAAATGCCGAGCTGGACAACGAGGCCTTCTTTTGGCGGTTTATTGGGAGAGTTCTGAGTTCGTTCTGTTACACGTTAACGAGAGTACACTTCCTTGGAGGAGACATTGCTGTATTTTCTCAATCCTTTATATTTTCCTTTTTAAACATTCTCTCTTCTGCATCTATTTTCGATTCTGTTTTCTGCATCTATAATTTTATTTATTTTTGGGCGGGACTCGGGAGTGAAGGATATGGGATTTCTCAGTAGTTTACTGGGAATTATTGGTTTTGGAATCGGGATTCCGGTTGGGCTTTTGGTGGGATATTTTCTTTTCATCTACTTCAAGCCCATTCATATAATTATAAAGGTGAATTCTTCTTATCTTCTCGTCATTATTTTTAGGTATCTAGCTTATCTTTGGTCGTCTGCTAAATCATCTGACGACACATTTGGTGAATGAGAGTTTCCTTTGATCCTCTTCTTTTATTTAACGGTCGGATACCCAAGTTGTATGCACTGGTCTTACTTTGTCAGTTGCAGGTGTCCTTGGTTGCGTTTTTTCTGAATTGTTTCCTTGCAAAAGAACTCTTTTCTTATTCAGTTTTTTCACATGTGGATGTTTTTCTTCTAGTCTAATTTTGGATTGCAGATTTTTCGTTTTTCGGGTCTCCTGATATTTATTTATCACTATTTTATTCTATTATTAGCTACAAGATTGACGTCTTGTTTAAAAGGTTTTAGGATCGTTCATCTTTGAGTACACATTTGAATAGTTTTATTGGGTGTTTTATTACGTGATCCTAGATACATATGTGATTCGTATATGCCTTTCTCTCTGTTTGGTTCTCCATTTTTGTTTTTCTTAGGATATCTTTCACTTGCTTTTGTTCATATGTAGGTATCGGTTCTCTTTCTAAATTTTATTTTTCAGTGTAGACCATTCAAGCTGTGTTTGTTGTTATAACATTTATTATCTGTTTTAAGTTGCATTTGTAAGCAAAATTGGGCAACCTTACATATTGGTTGTCTATGTACTTGACAAATTATTTTATTTCCTAAGAGTTTATATTGTTTCTTCACATGATATTTTAGAATGTACTTTGTTTTGCTTTTTATGCCGCAAGCAGTTTCTTGATTAGTTATCCCCTTATGCATCTGAGGTGGTCAAGGAGGAAATAGGCTGATGTATAATATTTTTCAAATTTTATTTGGAACAAAACTAAATTTGATGCCAAATTGAGATCTGAAATCCTGACCGGAGCACCTTCTCTCTTTTCATACTTTATCAGTTCAGACACCCACTCTTTCTATCTAAACATGTAAATAGTGATTTAGTTGGAGAACTATCTTCTCTTGTTTTGCAAGCCTACTGATGGTCTATGTTCATCTTCTGATTCTATATTTTGTCTCCATTTCATTTTCCTGATCAATACTTTTATGCTGCTATAGTTCTCAACATTCTCTGTAATAGTTAAACTTCTTGAACATACTTTTGCAGGACCCAGTCATTAGGTCACTGCATGAATTAGATTCAGATGCTTTCTATGAGCTCTTACCTGAGATTCCACTATGGGTGAAAAGCCCTGACTATGACCGGGTGAGTATTAAAATGTCTAGCTTAGTCGGTTCATTTAATACCAAATAGATATCTTCTTTTCCTTAACTTTTTGTTTAATTCAGTTTCTATGATGCTATTGATCTTCTTTTATGATGTGCAGGTTGACTGGTTGAACCAGTTTATTTTTGATATGTGGCCTTACCTTGACAAGGTGACTCTCAGTTTATACAAATTTCATCTTCAGGAAGGAAAAATACTATGCCCATATAAGATTTGATTGTCTTATTAGCATGTAGATTTGGACATTCTGCATGCAAGATGCAAATTGATAGGTTTCCATTCCTGTCAATTTTGTTTCCTCTACAGGCGGTATGTGGTATGATAAGAAGCACAGCAGGCCAAATTTTTGTAGAGTACATTGGGAAATTTCACATAAACTCAATAGAATTTGAGAGTCTAACTCTTGGAACTCTTCCCCCTACCATACATGGTAAGAGTTTAAGTTTCATTTGATGACAGTTACTGAGAATAATTCTTGTATTCCTCAACACATCCTAGGAATTTATAAGAAACCCAAATTCCTTTTTGTCATGCACCATCCTCTGTCTCTAAGGTTTGTATAGCAAGTCTGGAGAGTCTAACTTTGCCTCATTATCTCTGAAGATCTCAAGGACCCAGTGAACAATCTATCACCAGGGTTAGGCTAAAATTTGTCTTCCACGGAAGCTTTCCATCTACTTAAAGTTTTTGCATTTCTTTTTATTACTCTTTTTTTTTTCACATTTCCAATCAATAATCAATCTTATGAAATCCCTAGAAATAGAATTTTGACAATGAAGTATGCATTCCTATTCACAATATTCCTCATTCGAATTTCGTCTAGGCACAAGAGCAAGCTTGAGCACATTATCTACAATGGGATAATTTAAATCACCTATCAATGGACTGTAAGTCTCTGACAACGTAGTAGTATGTTAGAGCACATCCATGGCTGTTGCAACCACCTTTCATGGTTCCTTATTTTAATTTCTTTTATTATGTTTATATTATTAGTAGTAATAAAATGTTAACACAAACTAGCTGCTTCTTTTTCAACTTTCCAGGGATTAAAGTATATGAGACCAATGAGGAGGAAGTTGTTATTGAACCACTGGTTAAATGGGCTGGCAATCCCAACATAATTCTGGTGCTAAAGTTGTTTTATCTACGAATCACTTTTCAGGTCAGAAGAGCTCAGGCAACATTATAATTCATAACAATATATTGTGTGTTTTCATTTTGAATATGAGGACAAAGCTCCTAAGAGATTGGTTAAGCTTGTTGTCAGTTGGTAGATTTGCAAATATTTGCTGAACCCCGCATAACTTTGAAGCCTCTTGTGCCAAGCTTCCCTTGCTTTGCAAGCGTTAATTTGTCTTTGATGGAGAAGGTAAGTGACAAAGTATTATCGAATTCATAAAAGTAGTACTTTTCTTTGGAAGTTGCTTGTCAAAACTTAGATTTTAACATGGTTTGGTTGATTGATAATGATGAAAACCATCATACTAGGTTTTATATTTTTTTTTACCTGGACATTTAACGACACTGAATTCTGTTTTTATGCCCAGGTTTTTTAGATGTTTAAGACTTTAAGGTGTTTTTTTATTATTTTGATTGTTGTCTTAAGGTATTTTTCTCAAGAAAATGAGCCCCATGTAATTAAGGTGTTTTGCTTGTTTTCATCTTCAGGAGTGGGTTCAACGTAATATTTCAACAATAAGTAAGCATATTAGATAAAACAAAAGTGGGCCCCACTGTGATAGCAACTTTCTAGATTCTGAAAGCCTCTTTTTATAGTTTTCAAGATCAATTTCCTGGCATCGGACAAATCCCAAATTTTGAAATCAAAGACCACAATGGCAAATGGTTCTATGCATTTTTTGGCAAAAAGTTGCTGGCAATGACCACCATGCAGAAAACAGGAAGCAACCACAATTTGGAGCCTGCCCTAAGATTAGTCTTTTCCGTTTCCAAATGCATCTGAATGAATACTATTATTTCCTAATGTATCATGTTTTTCGTGACATTTGCAGCCACATGTAGACTTCGGATTGAAATTACTTGGAGGAGATATCATGTCCATTCCTGGCCTATATCAATTTGTCCAGGTGGTACATTAGTAATCCTTTATGAGGTTTAAGTTGGAGTGTTAATCAATGGTCTAATATTGGCATGTTTGGTTGATAATACAAGTCAACTTTGAGTTTTCAGTTTAATGAACTTTTTGATGTTTCTTGACCACATCTTTGAGTTTCCATTTAAGCATCTGAAAAGTCCAATATCTGTCAAAATGAATTCATTGTGACTGTGTGCAAGCTGTTGAATTTGTAGTTTATTTTAGGAGAAGTGTAACAATCATATGCTCATAATAAGAGCAATGCTTTTTTGTACTGTTTTAACTAATTACATTTAAGCATTTATCATTTCTTGCAGGAAACTATTAAAAAGAAAGTTGTAGGCCTCTACCTCTGGCCCCGAATCCTTGAAATCCCCATCCTTGACGGTTCAATGTAAGCTTTTGCAATTGAGATAATATAACTTGGATGATTTGTAACTTACAATTATCATTTTTTTTCAAACTTCATTCTTTTTGTTTTCAAAACTAATGGAGAGGGAATTGCTCAGTGTCTGTTCTGGGAATTTTTTGATATCAACAATTGGTTGAGTAAATATAGTTTGATGAGAATTAGAATGCTTAAGTCCAGCATTGATCATATAGGAAAATTATCAACTTTTCATCAACCCACGGTTTTAGTATCCAAATTTTTGGAGAATAATGAGTTTATACCATCAATCTAGGCGTGAACCTATGCCATATGAACTCATCCTTTTCATTCATCTTTTCTCTCGTTGAGAAATGATTTCTGAAGTCTCTCTTTGTATATCAATTTCTCTTTTGACAGAGGAGTACTGAAGGGCCCTGTTGGTATACTACACGTTAGGGTTATACGGGCTATCGATCTTTTGAAGATGGATTTCTTGGGAAAATCCGATCCATATGTCAAACTCAGCTTGAGTTGTAAGAGGCTTCCAGCAAAGAAAACCAAAGTCAAGAGGAAGGATTTGAATCCTGAGTGGAATGAGGTGTTCAAGCTAATTGTGGAAGACCCTGAATCTCAAGTCCTTCAATTACATGTCTATGATTGGGAAAAGGTTTAGATCTTTGTATGATTCTCAGTCTCAAAAGTCTTATGTTTCTTTTTCTCATTATCAAATTTAAAATGATTTTTGAGTTAACTCAAAAAGGTTGTCTTAATGTTCAACAATGAAATGATGAAAGATGAGCCTTGTTTGTAAAAGACATTTTAAGTCTGGATTTGGGGCTGGAAACAATTGCTTGGTGTAATGGTAAAATCTTGGCCTGAACCCATGATCAAATCTGAGAGTACCCACTTTGTGTGAAAAATGCCAAAGGTTAGGTCCATATCCAGTGCACCCCTTCCAAGACCCACATGGCTGGGACCAAAAGTGGGTAATAGCCTTTTATTTGGGGTTGGAATCCAGACCAACTAAGTTTGATGAATGAGTTGAGTTTTAACATTTTTATTGAACAGGTTGGGATGCATGGAAAATTGGGAATGCAAGAAATTCCTCTGAGATCTCTGGTTCCACATGAAGCAAAAGAATTTACACTTGATCTTCTCAAGAACACAAATTCAAATGATCCTCAGAATAAGAAGCAAAGAGGTAAAATTATGGTGGAGCTTACCTTCAATCCTTTCAAAGAAGATACTGACACATTCACCGGTCCTATGAGTGGAAATGGGAGGAAGGAAAGTAGGGTTGGAGTAGTTTCTGCAGATGCGGACTTGAGTGGGGCAGGGTTACTTTCAGTAATGGTCCAAGGTGCTGAAGATGTTGATGGGAGGCATCACAACAACCCTTATGCTCTGATCATTTTCAAAGGAGAGCAGAAGAAAACTAAGGTTAGCTTTCACAAAAAAAAAACTTGGATTCAATATGAGGCTTTCTTGCAAGTTCTGAGTTAAATATTGCTGAGTCAGAAATAATATTTTGTTGGCTTCAGAGTGGTCAAACTAGCTTTCTATTGATCTATAAATATTTCATCCATTTATTGACTGGTATGTCAAATTTTGTTCAGGTCTACCAGGATTGATGTTAATTTATAAAAAAAAAGGCTGTCTCAGTTTCAGAGATTTTTCCTTAGAAGCTGCAAAGAAAAACCAATTTCTCTTATTTTGATTTTTGGGGTATTCTCTTCATCTCATTTTTGTGTTTAATGTTGTTTTCTACAGATGATGAAGAAAACCCGGGACCCACGCTGGAATGAAGAATTCCAGTTCATGCTAGAGGCGGCCCCTTTGGATGAGAAGCTTCTTATTGAAGTTATTAGTAAGCGGACATGGTTAGGTTTCAGAAAAAAGGTATTTCAATCATCCATTTACATTAGCTTACTTCCATATTTTACAATCTTTTGTTCTTGAGTTATCTCTTCATATTATGTAGGAAGCATTGGGGTATATAGACATCAATCTAACTGATGTTGTGAACAATGGACGCATCAATGAGAAATACCATTTGATCAATTCAAAGAATGGAATGATACATGTTGAGATACGGTGGAATACAATATGAGCGAACGAGAGATGCACTGTATATTCCTTCTTTCTGAGTAGGTTGTCTATAAATAATGTTCAATTCTTCTATTATAAACACTGAGATTCTTTAAAATTTCATTAACTATAGATGTCGTCAAAACCAATAACACTTGGGTATGCCATGGGAGGGTGGGGGACAGAGAAAAGTTTGAAGGGAAAGGAAACCAGGTTGAAAAACAACATATCCTTTAGGATCAACTTTTTAAGCATGATCAACTCATTTTTTATATGCCTGCACCAATTGTTTCATTAACTTCCAAATATGTTTTGCAAAATAGTTAGATTCTGCTGGTCATTGTGGAATCATGATGCACATACAGAGTGGACGTCCTTGCATCAGCCATCAGGGGGATTTTTTTTTTTTTTTTTTTTTTTTTTTATTTTTTTTATTTTTTGTGTAAAAGTAGCAGTTTGAAGTTTTCTTCTTTGATGGAAACTCCCGACTGCATTTGGGGGTGGGCTTACTTCAAATGGGCTAGGCCGGAATTGAACATTCAGGCCAACTTTATCATGTTTAAGCCACAACAAGGTCTTTAATCCAGTTAGCTTGTGGGTTATTCATGGCCTTGAAGCCCAAACCATTTTAGAATGTGAAATATGATTGAGCAAGTGGCTCTTGACAGAGTGAAACGGTAGAGCAGGGCTTTTGTACTGTGTAGTCGGCTCCAAATAGTTCGGGCAATGCTTGAGTTGAATTGGTGATTTTATATTATATATACCAGAATAACAATTTGACATAAAAAGGAAGTATCCTTCCTCTGAGATTGCACCCATCACCCGTGAACTAATAGGCTTCAGTAATCAGTACTGAGGAGATGAATTGGGTCAGCATCTACTCGGACATCTAATCGTTTAAGTATCCAAATATTGAAATTAAAAGCCTGGCCATCGTGGTCGTGGAATAATGAACAGTTCAATCACTTATCAGCGTGAATTTTGATGGATTTTCATTGGTTCAGTTTAAGCCTTAGTACAAGGAGCCGTTAAGTGTACGAGATCTGACTGCAATCTAACTCCACCCACCCAGTTCCAGTTGTTGTTCATGTTATCATAAAATATTTAAGATTTCTCTTTAACATGCGCAAAGTCGCAAACCATGAAAATGGCTTTTGCAATAAAAATAGGTTAAATGGCTGGAATCTCCCCTGAAGTTTGATAACTGTAATTACCTCCCCTTTTAACTTTCTGACACAGTACAAGTAGACCCTATCTGTTAGAATCATGTAACAAGAGGCGCAAAAATGTCTAAAATACCCATATTTAAGATTTTCATAAAGTTTGTAGTAATTGTGTAGGTATTTTGTATATTTTCTTGCATCTTGTTAAAAGATTCTAATAGAGGGGGTCTACTTGTAACTATGCAGAAAATTCAAGGGAGGTAATTGCATTTATCAAATTTCAAAGTAGGTTTCAGCAATAGTCAGAAGGTTTTAGCAATTTACTAAAAATAGAGCTTGGATCTGCTACCCATAGGCTGTTCCCACATTCCTACCAATGGGACATCACAGCTAGGGTGTTCACAGTCTGGTTTAGTGTCGTTTAGAGAAGATCTTAGACAAAACCAGTAAATTATGATTTAAAAAAATTTTAAACCAAACCAAACCATTTTATTACAGTTTGATGCGTTTCTAATACGGTTTGGGAAACTTTAGACCATTCTTTGATTCTATTAGGCTTCACCCAATTAGAAAGCTCAAATAGCACCCCTAAAAATTATAATTTAAAACTTTTATTTTATTATTTTATTATAAAATAAAATATTTCAGTATATATTTATATTTTTATACATTTGGTTTAGATATATTATATTATATTAAATATAATATCTATACATCATTTATTTATATAATTATATTGTATATTTATAGATTTATATTATATATAATTTTGGTTTTCGGTTTATGGTTTGGTTCAGTTTATATAGTCCAAAAAGCCAAACTGAAACTACAAACCACAATTTAACAAAATATGAAACCGAACCAAACCATTAAATCAAATTGTAAATTTAGTTTAGTTTTGCAATTTGAACCAAACAATGAACACCCCTAATACAACTGTGGCTGCACATTGAAAATATCTCCCATGAAGTTTTGCGGTTTGAACCAAACAATGAACACCTCTAGTCAATATCTCCCTTGTCATTCATGGGAGATATTCCTAAGGCTTAATTTGGAAAGAGTTCAAATACAAATATGTAGTGCAAATAATAAGGAGCATTTTCTCCATTTGAAATAGAGAGTTATTAGGGGTGAGCAAAAAAAAAAAAAACAAAAAACAAAAAAACTGAACTGATCGAAAAAACCAACCAAAAAATTTGTTAACCGAACCGGTCGGTTCATTTCAATTAACCAATATAGAAAACCGACAGTTAATCGAACCAACTGGTATACATATATTTCTATATATTTTATATATGTTTATGTATATTATATATATTATATTTTTTATATATTATAAATTAATAAATATGCATTATATATAAATATATATTTATAATATATGATATATTATTTATTATTTAAAATATAATGTTTTATATATATTTATAATTTTTATTATATTTTTTTAATATATTATAAAAATTAAAAAACCGAAAAACTGATGAATCAAACTGGTCAACCAATTAACCGATTGACTTTGATTCGATTTCGATTACCGCTTTTCCAAAATCCGATAATACTGGTTCGATTCCAAAAAATGCCCCACCGTGAAAGGCTGAAAGATGGAACATGAGCATTTCTTTCTCTTTATATTGACTTTCTTTCTCATTATGTTATAATACCTGAAAGGCTGAAACATTTTCAACCAATTACACGCGTGTAGGAAAATTAGTTTTAGAAAGAAATATTGGGGCTTTGAGGCATATTTATAGATACTATTTTTAGAATATTATTTGCCCCAGAAAAATCTATTCTTAATATATAAAAGCTTCTCATGAAAAAATGCAACCATAAAAGTTGATAGAGAAACCTTCTACTAAATAGCAATAATTTGAATTGAGAGAGACACAAGTTCTGAATGGAATTTTTCAGTGTATGAAACGTTATCACTTTCGCCCAGTTTATAGATATGGAGGATCGTTTTGAATTTTTGAAGAGGCTTTTGTATAGTCACAAATTTGAATCAAGTGACCATGCAGTATGAAGATGAAAACCAATGGTAAAAGCTTCCTTTGTGTGTTCCTAGATGGACGATGGACCATACGGGTATAAGCAAAGTGAGCCTCTAAAGCAGCATTAGAGTTGTACATACATGTCTGACGTGGCAACATGTGCACACACTCTCTAATGTATGCTACTAAAGGTGTAAACAAATTTAAAAGAAATCTTGTAATTTTTCCATCTACACTTGGAAGAAAACAGGAGACAATGAGAGGTTTTTAGTGAAGAAATCAAAATTTTAGAAAATTATTTTATAAAAATCTAAAGGAGAAATATAACTATATAAAACACAATAAATAACCAATCAAATCCATGAAAATTTCTAATGAGGTTAAATCTCAACAACAGATTATCAATATTATCACTTTCACCAACATGGACACAAATTCAATTAATTAACGCCCAACTTCACCTTATACAATGATATAAAAAGGTTCAATGAAATTTGTTGAAGAAATGCAAAGTGCCAACTAGCGGGTTGGTATGGTCTCTTGATGGTCGTAGCGGAGACTTGGGACCAAATCCTGTCTACACCCGTGTTCTTGGGGGATGGCCTTCCCTGTTGTGTAGCCATTGAAAAGAAATAAAAAAAAATTGTTGAAGAAAATTATGCAACTACAAGTAGGGATGGTAGGGTACGGTATTGGGTTAAACTTGACCCTCCCCGACCTGTATATTATTGGAAAGCATATAAATTTTATGTATTAGTTGTTAAATTTAATAATATTTTGAATTTTATGTGAAGGATAATTGATTGTTATGTGATTTTTACATGTCTTAATCAAATAATTGAAAATTTTGTTATTTATTTATATTATTTTACTTATTTATTGTTTATATATAATAAGAAATAATAGGAAATTAGATGCGGGTTCTAAATCCAACCCGCCCCTACCCTTGAATGTGGGGAGGGTAGGGTTGGGGAGGGTTTGGCATTTTTATATGCGAAGAGGGTTTAAATTCTTAAAATCCAACCCGCCTTAGGGCGGGTGCGGGTTGAAAGGTTTAGGGAAATGGATAGGGTCTAAAACTTACAAAACCCTCCCCGTACCTGCACTAACTATACGAGTGGACATGAGAAAGGAGTAGAAAGAATGTCCATGAACGACAGTTAGACCATGATATCATAAATACAAAAATAGATAACATATAAAAAATTATAAAAATGGGCATCTCTCAATAATTATATATCTACTTATATGATAAAAAAAACTATTGTTATTAGTGAAAATGGCTAAAAATACACATACAAACAGAGAGAGAGAGATTATGGATTTTTGCTCTTCATGTTGAGGAACTGATGTCTCTCCTCAATGGGTATACAACAAAGTGGGGTATAAAAAGAAAACTGATCCCTATTGGTCCCGTTCATAAATATTTAATTTTATTGGCTTAACCTCCGGGCTTTCTAAGCCAAGCGGATGCATTGACACCCATGATTCTGAAAACACATTTTCGTGAACTGTAGAATATGGATAATGGCGAAATTGGTTCTCATCAAAGTCCACTACCACTACTGACTTTCTCCTTGCTTATCTAACTAAATTCAAATTGTACTTGGCATGTTATTCAATAACCCAAATCCCAATCTGTATACCAATTTTGAACAACTCGTTCAACATTGGTTCGGTTTCGGTATTTATCAGCTCAGGCCTCAGGGGTACACACCAACCATATATTACATTGACTTGTTTATCTTTGTATACTCCGCGTAGAAGCTGCATTTGGACCAACCACCCACTTCAGTCTTTTTGTTCTGATAATTAATGAGGTTTTCTGGATGCATAAGCGCCAGCAACGCCATGTATTTATACCAGAACCAGATGAGTGCAATCTCCGGTTTTGTCAATATATTTAAATGCTTCGGCTTTGAATTTTTCTTTAGACTCTGTTGGAGTTGGCCGGAGAGCATTTCCATTCGAATCTTCATCTTCATTTACGTTTTTTGTTGCACTCGGCCTTTTTTTTTTTACCTAGACGGAATAATTAATTTGGGAAATAAAGGTAAGTGGGCTACAATAATGAAATGAATAATCCAAGGAAGAGCACGGGGGGCATTTTGGGAACTTTGTCACATAAAGACGGAGTCTGCTTTACCAGTCTTCCTCATTACTCAACTACATGGTAGGTGAACATTTAAAGTTTTGAAGTAGTACTCTAGTTGACAACTTGATTTTAATGGAGTGGTGGTGGTGGCAGAACTATAGAACATTCCCCCTCCATTCATCTGTTAGGTATTCATGCATTAAAGTGATTCACTTGCTTTCATTCTCTCTTCAATGCCCATTTAAACCTCTTGGTGAACAGGTCACTGGTTTAACCATCAGGGTTAACAGGTTAATTCATGACTACTTGACGAAAATCTTGTGGCATAAATCATAATGAACAAGTCATCAATTCAATGGATCAATTTGAATTACCAAGTCAACAGAGGTTAAAGGTGGATGAGAATAGAATCACTATGTCGCCGATCCAACCGGCCGGCCGGATCAATGATGGGTTGAGAGGATGACTATCCTCTTTCCACACAGGCACACTTGCTCAGAAAGGAAGGAAAGGACTACACATGAGCCTGGCCTTTGAGTGGAGATAGGAGCTCTCTGTTCCCGCTTTATTTTACTCCATAAAAAGTCCATCTTTTAGATGTAAAGTTATTCCTCCCCAGAAGAGAACATGAACAAAGGGTCCAATATAGTGACTCTTTTTTATTTCACTCCTCCTTTTGAGAGCACATATACTTTCGACTTGCTCGCCAGAGAGAGAGAGACGTGGAATCATGGAATGGCGCTTCATTACATCAATTAAGTGGAGAGAGACAGAGAGAGCCATTAAGAAATGGAATCTCCATGGCCATGGCCCAAGGCTGGGGGCTGGGGCTTCCTTTTCTCTAGCCCCAAGTATGGTAGACTTTCTGGAGCTAAGTCAACAAAAAAGATAGATGACAGGCTTTTTGTAGAGGGACCTCGGCTGAGATTGGGGCCATGGCTTGTCTGGCACTTGATGATTCTCCACAGCATTATAATTAACCTTTATCTCGCTTTGCTTCAATGAAATTGCGATTAATTAGCTAATGCTTTTTGGGTCACTAAAACCTTGAAGCATTCTGTTGCAGAGGGAGGTAGGTTATTGGTTTTTGGTTGAATACTTTTGCTGTTTATGTTATATATATCTTATGTTTTTGTTTATAAACCTAGCTTTATGGAGGGAGATATATACATTAAAGCTTAAACATAAAGAAAACAATATTGTACGTGGAAATTAAAGAGAAAAAAGCAGAGAACATTTTCAACATAGTCGTTGTTTTGGTTCTGTGCTTCAACAGAAAATCTGAAAAAAAAAAAAGAAAAGGAAAACCAACGTTTGAGTCAACTTTCCATTATACATTATTAGGGCATCCATACCATATCCCACTGTAGTCAATCATCCACCCAATTCCTCATCCTGATGGTGATATCACGTATAGATGGATCATCAACAAAGTCAAACCCAACCCATGAAACCATGACTCCATCGATGCTGCACACACATGACAATGGATATATTGTATCCTGTGTGTATTGATTAATGTATATCAACAACAATAACGATTGTAGATGTGGTGTAGGTGGGGCCCGACAGGAGATGCTTTTCGTGGACATGACACGAAACAGAGGCCTATGTCTCTTGTAAGGGTGGTATTTGGCAGAGCTCTCTAGTCTCTATAACATCAGATAAGGAAATCCACAGGCTGCTGGGGGTCCATCACCCACTTGATAAAATGATGCCTGGGCCCATGGGATGCGATGGGACCCAAAAGTTGCTGTTTTATCATGTTGGGGCAGCACCAATATCTCTCAGGCCTTGGCCACCATGATTATAACTCCTAAAGTGTTGGCCCAACCCAACTTCTTACAAAAATGGCATTTTAGTCATTTTATAAAGGAGGAGTTGCACAAATTCACCAATCATTTAGTGATGGTTTTAGAACTACTAGTTACGGGTCAAGCACTATACCATTTTTTTTCTCCTCGCGGTGGATGTTACCAAATTAGACCGTCTATGACTTTTAAATAAGAAGATAGAAGTATGAGCGGGTTCGAGCTAAGTTGAGTCAAATGTTAAATTTTAATAGAAAATTATGAGGCTCGAATATGATTTCAATTAGAAATATTATTCCAAATTCAACTTGGCTCAAAAACTTATATGCTTGAATTTGGTTCGGCTCAATTAATAAATAAGGCCTATATTTTAAATTTGAATTCAACTTGAAATTTAAATTAGACCAATTTGAACCGAATTTTTCTTGAACCTAATTTAAATAATTAGAAAAAATCTCGGTTCTATGTCCATCTCTAGATAGAAGCACTTTGAACTTGGCTTTGGCCTGATTTGTCTCCAGTAATAATGGCCATTCATTCAGACGTTCAGGCCTCGATCAATACAGACTAGCGGGAGTTTGAAGGTTGACAATTCTAATTAATTAGTTAACATCAGACGCCCAAACCCGATGGGCGATGGCAATGTGGACAATTCTAGTTAGTTATAGTACTTACTTATTCATAATTCGTGATTCGTTTAGAATCTTTATTTTCGTTGCTCCACGTAGGCCGTAGCGCAACTGCGTTTCCCATTCCCATGTCAAACACAAGGTGACCCCACATGCAACTTTTGATGATGCTGTGCACGTGTGGTTGACTCATCGTAATCATACTCTTACACGGGGAATGACTACATAATATTGCTGCATCCCCAACAACCGTACATCATGATGGACCCAGGCAAAGTGATTCAATCAGGGCCATGAAAGTACTCATGTGCCATTATTCTTTTCCCTTGTTTTGGTGTACAATGTCTGTAAAACTCTGTGTTCATCTTGCTCGGTAACTTATAACAAAGCTTTGACAATTTATATATTTTGACCGAAAATCATCAACAGTTTTACCTCATGATCATATCAGATGGTTACACTTTGTCTTACTATGCAATTATCTTTTTCCCAAGTCCACGTCAAATCTGGTTAGGTCATCATCCTTCATCTGTGTCCGTGTGGGTGATAGCAGCATCAACAAATGAACGGTTTGGATAGCTATGGGCCGGGCCCGCTTATCGATAACAGTTATAACAATGACCCTACAGCGATTCTGTAATCCTCTGAAGCTCATGACAAAAAAAAAAAAAAGGGAATTCTTTGAAGCTCAAGGCATATGACATTATTATTATTATTATTATTATATTTCATTTCAATGGAGTACATATTGATGCTGGTTCACGGTTGGCGTTGCCCACCGTTTTTCTTCTGTCTACCACTAATGTCCACAAAATAAGCTTTTGTTTTCATTTATTTTTTTTCCATTTATTTATACGAAATGTGTTTTTTTTCTTTTGTTAGTTGTTGGTTGGTTTCTTCAAATTCGTTGAAAAGATCTTCCGCCTCGAATTGTTTATTGGTATAGATGTTAGAGGGAAGGGGTGAATTCAATCTTGAATCAGGTAGCGTAAATTCTTGACCATCTGGATACTGCATATGCTTCTGTTTTGGTTAGGTTAGCTTGCACGGTTTCATTTCTCGACCCGAAAATAATATAAATATAGTCGGTCCCACTCTATTTAGGGCCTATTTAATTCATAAGAATAGGGGTTTGGAATGGACTGTTTGGTTGGGTAGAATGGAAATCCCATTCTAATTTGGGAGAATAGCCATTCCCCTCTCTCTTCTGAATAAAATCCCATTTCAATTAATTTTAATTTTTTTAACAAATTTCGATTTCAATTTCGACTGCAAACCAAACGGGCCCTTTTAGGAGAGAGATTTGAGAGACACCCAATTTGGCTCCCCTTGCCCGGCCCGCAAATTTCCGGGCCCGTTTCTTTGTAAACCGCTCCACGGTCACGGAATAAATGCGGGAGCGGGTTATTGTTTATATATATATTTTTTTTTCGTAGAAGCGGGAGCGGGTTAGGCCGACTAGCAACGAGCCATCAAATACACAGGGCCACAGGGGCATTACTTCTTAATGATTTATTTTTTATATTTCATCTTTATATATTTATTCTCTAAAATACCCTCACTAATTTTACTATTTTATTATTTGGAACAAACAGTAGATGCAAATCCCATGGCTCCCAAGACTTGTTACGACCGTTCCGAATATTCCGATATCGACTTACATGTGAACAATGAGTGGCATCTACGTTAAATAAAGAGTAGAAAAAAATATAGGGGCAATATTGAATAAAGATTCTACCTTTATTCAACCAAACACATTTTTAAGGCGCTAACTAACGTATCCCCCCCTTACGACCTTATCTTATCCCAAGGTCACAACGGATTAAAGAGGCTTGTGCTGTTGCTGTTGCTGTTGATGTTGGTTGCTTCTCTCACAGAGGTCAAAACCAGAGCTCCAATGGCGGCCAAGCTCAAGAAGAAGAGAGGAAAGCATTTGTTTTTGTTGTTATGCTTTACGACCTAGTCATTTTCTTGGTGTGGTTAGGGCTTTCATCATTATTACCCTTTTTTTCTCTCTTAAATAAAGCTCTTTTGTTGGTCTACAGCATCCTCCATTCAAAGCTCTTCGGTTTCCGTGTTCCACTTCTTTTAATCTTTTTCTCCTAAAGACCTCATCCCTCGTTACCTCGATTCTTGAATCTCAAAATACTCTTGTGAAGATAATATCTCTTCGTTTTAGAGGATCTCCGAAAGCATTTCGAGATCTGCTTCCTGGATTCCTTCTTTCTCGTCTTTTTCTTGGTTTTGAATCTCAAAAACCTAGACTTCAATGCTACGGATTGAAAGAGAGAGGGAGAGAGAGTTAAGGACTTAAGGCTCTCCGACTAGTTTCCTCTGCTTAAATGTTTCTCCGTCTGGTTCAAGAGCTTTTAGTAGTTGAAAGAACTCGTGTGTATCTTTGATTCGAGGAGCTTTGCGTAGAACCGTTTTTAAAATCCAATTTCTTGTGTGTTCTTCTCAATAGAAGGTCAAATCTAATAGAAATGGGAAGTAAATGGAGGAAAGCGAAGATTGCTCTTGGACTTAATCTCTGCGTATACGTCCCTAGAACTTTAGAGGAAGCTTCTCCCTCTGCCGATGCCTGTGGAAGATATTCAGATGCTTCTTCACTTTCTCCCTCGGTTTCACCGGGTTCCCGAATCTTAGATTCTGTACCGATAATGCCCACCACGCCCACACCTTCTTCGTCCGGTCTTCGGCTGTCGAAGAGCAATAGCAGGTCCTTGAAGGTTTGCATCTCTCCTTCTCCTTTGCTATGTATTACTGAAGCCAGTGTTTGACGATTGATTTATGAAACCGATTTTCTCCCCTCCAGCTTGAGTATTTCAATGACAACTTGCTTTTATTCAAAACGTTTCCAGTGTTTTCTTTTTGTCATTGATTTTCTTCTCTCTTTTCAAGTTCTGAATCTGGATTTCGCAATGAAATTTTAAGAGTGTAGGGAGTGGATTTATGCTGTTATTGTTTCCATCTCCTTCTGACACTTCTTCCTTTTCATATAATCTCTCGCTTATTTCTTCTTGGCGAGCGGATAAACCTGTTTAGAGGTTAATAGTTAGCGTAGATCGATATCTAACTTTATCGTCAAGCCTCTCATAAATCCTAATTTGGTTGGAATTTCTATTTCTGCTTGTTTTCGTATTCTTTTATTTCTCAAATAATTTATTTAACGTAAGCAAAATCATTCGTCAGGCCATTTTCGCGTTCCTCCTTTCTTTTGCTTTCTTTTATTTTTCACCTACTTGGAAGAATTAAGCAGCTGGGTTATCATTGTCAAGTAGTTTCCTGCACTATGCGACTTGTGGGGATAAAGCGTAGAGTCCTTTATGGACCATTGTCGTTTGGCTTATTAGAAAAGTAAAACAAAACTATTGGGTAATGGGTACTATTTCCTTTTCTCCATGCCTTGAAGGGAAAGTAGCTTCTTTGGTCAGCCACTACTACACTCTTCCATATGCATTTCTCTCTCCTTTTTTGTTTGTATTTTTATTTTATTATTTTTAACAGAAGTCCGTAGATCGTTAATTGCCATCTTTCCAGTAGTAGACTTCTTCATTGAAAGAAAAGCGTAAAGGGTAAAACAAAAATCTTACTGTAACTCGTGATATCTTTCATCCTTTTGATGAGTTTTTGTTTTTCTTTTCTTTTTTTTTTTTTTTTTTCTGATGAGAGATCTTTTGATGAATGAGCTGTGTATTTTTTTTTGGCCTGATCGTCGTGAAGGTCATCGTCATCATTATAATTTCATAGTTGCTTGATTACTCTTTTCTTAAAAAGTAGCACCTTTGGCTTTGCTTAACTTCTCCAATATACCCCTCTTAATGTAATAAATCCCTAATGCAAGTTTCTTCTGGTTGTTAATGTTTGCTCATTTTCTCTATGCTCCAGGACAAGTGAAATTAGTTGTATATAATTTATGTAAAAGCATTTTTACATTGGTTATAAAAATTAAAGTGCTTGGGTCAATTAGGCTTCTCAAATGATGATTCCACCCACTTCTCCCGCTGCCCCATCCAAGTCCTATGCAGCCCCGCCTTGGATTGGAGTTTTTCCCCCCATCGTTACTAACCATTTGAATTTTGAAGTTTCTCGGTGCCCACTAGACAGGGTATTTTCAGTTCTTGTGGCGAGGCTAAAATCTGTCATATGAGTAGAGATTGGAGATAGGGAGATATTGGGGAGGGGGGGGGGGTCCTTTAAAGCTCCTTATTTCAAATATGGGGTCCTTTAATTGTTTCTTATCGCGGTCTATATTTCTTCAAAGTTCAAACGTTTTCTTTTTTTTTTTATTTCAAATTGTTGTTTGTATTTTTGAATGCCATCTCTTTCTTATGTCATTGTATACTTTCTACCTTCTCACCCCAAGTTCCTTTTTGACTTGCAGAGGACCTGTGCTATATGTCTGGCCAACATGAAACCAGGACAAGGCCATGCTATTTTCACTGCAGAATGTTCACATTCCTTCCATTTCCAGTGTATTGCATCTAATGTGAAACACGGCAGCAAAATTTGCCCAGTTTGTAGAGCAAAATGGAAAGAAATCCCATTTCAAGGCCCGAATTTAGATCCCCCTCATGAGAGTGCAAGAATTAATCCGGTGGATTGGCCTCAAGATGATGCCTGGATGACTCCATTGCGGCGACTTCCTCCTCCACGTCTAGCCTCCCATCGACAGATGGCATCGCCTTTCCAGGCTCCTGAGCCGAATGTATTCAATGACGATGAACCCTTGGAACACCAACTTGATTTGGCACAGATAAGCTCTGTAATCAAGGACGTTTCTGACAACAACTGCATTAGAACAGTAGAGATGAAAATGTACCCTGAAGTTACAGAAGTTCCGAGGGAAAACTCCCAAGATAATTTCACTGTTTTGATCCATCTCAAGGCTCCTGGTTCAGATGGTAGTTCAAGCAGAAATCCTGCCACCTTGCCAGTAATCTCTCAAACTTCTCGGGCTCCAGTTGACCTTGTCACAGTGCTTGACGTCAGTGGTAGCATGGCTGGTACCAAGCTTGCATTACTGAAACGAGCTATGGGATTTGTGATACAAAACCTTGGTCCTTCTGACCGGTTATCAGTCATTGCTTTCTCGTCCACTGCGCGACGGCTTTTTCCTCTGCGACGGATGTCTGATATTGGACGGCAGCAGGCTTTACAGGCTGTGAATTCTCTGACTTCAAATGGTGGGACCAACATTGCTGAAGGCCTGAGAAAGGGTGCCAAGGTTATGGAAGACCGCAGGGAGAGAAATGCAGTCGGTAGTATCATATTGTTATCCGACGGGCAGGACACATACACCGTCAATGGCCCAGGAGGAACCCACCACCGCGCTGACTACCAGTCACTCCTCCCAGTGTCGATTCGTGGTGGTGGCAGTACAGGATGTCAGATTCCAGTGCATGCATTTGGGTTTGGTGCAGATCATGATGCCGCTTCAATGCACTCAATCTCAGAGTCTTCCGGTGGGACCTTCTCCTTCATAGAAGCTGAGGGTGTTATCCAGGATGCATTTGCTCAGTGCATAGGAGGGCTCCTGAGTGTGGTAGTTCAGGAATTGCGCGTCAGAATTGATTGTGTACACCCAGGTATTCGCATTGGGTCACTAAAATCTGGAAGCTATCCAAGCCGTGTGATGAATGATGCACAAACAGGCTCTATTAATGTTGGGGATTTGTATGCTGACGAAGAGAGGGATTTTCTGGTGTCTGTAAATGTACCAGCGAATGGCTCCCATAATGAGACACCGTTGGTGAAGGTGGAATGTGTTTATAGAGATCCCGTTACGAAAGAATTGGTATGTTTGGAAGGCAAAGAAGTTAGAATTCAGAGGCCTAAGGTTGCAGGACAACAGGTGGTGTCCATTGAGGTGGACAGGCAGCGAAGCAGGGTGCAGGCAGCTGAGGCAATGGCGGATGCCCGAGCTGCAGCGGAACAAGGTGACCTAACCGGTGCAGTTTCTATCCTCGAGAGGTGCCGCAAAGAATTGTCAGAAACCGTGTCAGCACGGGCTGGTGACAGGCTCTGTGTTTCACTGGATGCAGAGCTGAGGGAGTTGCAGGAGAGGATGGCCACCCGACGTGTGTACGAAACATCTGGGAGGGCGTATGTTTTATCTGGACTTAGCTCTCACTCATGGCAGAGGGCGACTGCACGTGGCGACTCAACTGATAGTGCAAGTCTTGTCCAGTCCTACCAGACACCATACATGTTGGACATGCTCACCCGCTCTCAGACCATGCCTCTTGGTGGTGCATCGTCCCAACCTCCAGTCAGACCAGCTCGGTCATTTTCATCACAACCTCGGCCTAGGTAATATTACCAGATTTTCTGGTGGAATTATCATCAGATCACATCTGTATTTGCTTTGTTACTTTATTTTTCTTTCTTTATCAAGGGCGGGGGTATATCTTATCTTAATCTTATATTGGAGGGATACAAGAGAGGAT